AAAGGTTCAAAATCTGATGATGTAATTCAGATAAGAGGTATGCAATATTCCAAAATTGAAATTAATGTAGAAGAACGGGAATGGGAAGCGTAGCAGAGAATGGCACTGGTTTATTCTTACTTCTTGGATGTCGAAACAAATCTGCTAAAGCCAATTTTATGGTGAAAGGCTACTCTGCAAGAAGAGAAAACACTTTATTGTTGTTTAAGTGTCAGATGAACTTACCGTTGGCTGCTGGAGAACACCGGCCTGATTTTCTCGCGACCATATCACGCTCTTACTGTAGTGTGCACATTGCGGGTGCACCTTGATACGGTAAATGGCTTTCAAAGAAACACTAGAAAATATGTATGGATGAACTATGACTAGCACGATTTACTGGATGGGTAGGTCACCAAGGGACAAACAGGTTCTTCTGATCTCTATAGTTAGCGGAACACCAATGAATCCTAGCTCTCACGCCCCGTAACGCGCACGCTATTGTCACGAAAACAAATGCCTCGACAAAGTGGCGCAACGTTGACAGCGAACAGCGAAAGTTCGTGTCACAGATAGACTGGATTCGCGGTTCCAAGGCATCTCACCTGTACGCACAGACAACAGCACGAGCAGCACAAACAAATTCATACAGTGCCATTAGTAGGGAAACCAGATCACTTATGTGCACTCTCTATATAAGAGCTGACAGTTGCCCGGGAGAAGTATCACCGGGATTTCCAGCAACCAACGGTAAGTCACCTAACAGTTTTACCAAAGAAGTAGTTTTCTCATCTTGCAAAAGAGCTTCCGAGCAAAAAAAAATTTGCTTCAGCAGTTTTTGTTCTGATTTTCAAGAAGGAATCATAACGTGGAAATCCTTCCTGTCACTTTTGATTGCTAACACTGCCCAACAGCTGAAAATTACCAAAAGGCTAAAATGTACGAATCAACCGCTTAACAGAATTTTTTGTGATTTCAGATGGGAACTATGCTTCACTACACTGTGACTGGTGCATTTATCAGCACCGCTATCGCCATTGGTGTGACATTCGTCATTATCTTCGACGTCATTAGTGACATCAACGATTTCCAGAGGGACATCGAAAAAAAAAAGACCTGGATCAATTCAAGGTTAGCTCTACTGGTTGAATCCTCGCTCGTAAAGAGATTCCATTGCAGCACATAGCCAACGATGCATGGAAGACAATGATGGTAGCTCAACAGAAATGAAGGCATTCCGGTCTTCAACTCGGCTAGGATCCGAAGAGGTGGCAGCTACAGCGAAGGCTATAGTGGTGGAAGCGGATCGTACAGAGGTGGAAGTGGAGGCAGTAGATCATCGTATGCAGCTGGCGTTGGTGGCTCTTACGGTCGTAGTGGCGGTGGTGGTTGCATGTGTGCAGCTCAAGCATCAGGATGTCCACGAGGACCACCAGGTTAGAACTGAACCGAGCTCTTGTTCACAGTCTCTTTATAAAAAACCTTACAGGTCCTCCCGGTCTAACCTGGAATGCCGGGAGAGGATGGTCAACCAGGAATCCCTGGAAGAGCAGGAGGGGCTGGTGTGGCAGCAGAAGGGCATCACAGTGGAGGTTGCATTTCGTGCCCAGCCGGACCTCCAGGTGCACCTGGTCCAGATGGAGCTCCTGGTCCAGCCGGAGCCCCAGGAAATCCAGGAGCAGACGGACAAGGGATGGGAGGAGGTAAAGCTGCTTCTATATCTGAAAACATACTAATGAAGTATTTTATGAGTTTATTACAAGCTATTTAGGTATGGCCGGACCACCTGGTCCTCCAGGCGCACCTGGACAAGATGGACGGCCTGGTAGCCCCGGACAAGATGGAGCCCCTGGAGCACCAGGTAATCAGATGAGAGCACTACTAATCGAGGTTTACATCCTTATTCTTATTCATTTCAGGAACGAGATCCTTCGGGCTACCAGGACCAGCGGGAGCACCCGGACCAGCAGGGAGCACCTGGTATGCCAGGGCAAGGACGGTGGTCACTCTGGTACAGGAGGCCCCGGACCTGCAGGACCCCCTGGTGCTCCTGGCAACGACGGAGCACCAGGAGCACCGGGAGCTCCTGGAATGCCTGGTGGCAGTGGATCGCCAGGATCAGATGCTGCGTACTGCCCTTGCCCTGCACGAGTTGGAGGTGGAGCACCAGTAGGAGGTGGTGGCGGTAATTATGGCGCCTCTGGTGCTGGAAGAACGCACTCAGCTGGAGGAAGAATGAATGGAGGTAGCTACAACGGCGGCGTTCGGGGTGGCGGTGCTCAGGGAGGCTCCCACAATGCAGGCGGTTACAAAAAACGTCGTGTCGTTCACGCCGCTGCATAGACACTTTGTACAAATTTTGAATAAAGATTCAAAAAGCAATTCTTTCGATTACACGCATCATTATTCCAATGCAACATTGGTACGAGGTCCAGCACATAAACAGAAATAGTAACACATAAAATCACTCCAAAACCAAATGTCGTCGTAATCTCCGATTTGCATAACTTACTGGTTCCCCTTGCTTGTATCATCCATTATCATCTAACATATTATAAAAAAAAAGTAAGTAAAGCGAAAGTAAAGCGCAGGAAACACTTATCAGCCGCTTTCTAACTTTGTTATTCCCCAATAAACGACTTCAACGAACCCTTGAAATTTCGGGATATATCCATCAATATGTTAGACTTCATTACAACTAAACCATCCAAATGATTATATTTCTGCCTCTCAGCAAACTTTTTACCACATACGACACTTGATGAATCTTGGAAGTAACAGTAGCAAATTTCTTACTACTGAACCATCCAAATAATTCAGTAGTGAAAAACTTTTTACCTCTAAACACTCCGACGATTCTTCTCATCTTTGCCTCCCCCCCCTCTTGCCTTCCACCTTACCATTGGTTATCGAACTCAAAGTCCCCTCGTTGTTTTCTCAAGGACTTTTCAAATCCTGCACAAGGAAGTTTGGCTGGGGCATACTGTCGCTTGCATGACACGGGGAACCCTAGAAGCTTATCACCAACAGAACATGTCTGCTGTGACCTCCTTTCATTCGGAGGAAGAACTTGAGGAGGGGAGGGGATTCAGGCCTGCAACCAACTTACAGTTCAAGGATCCCTGCATAACTAAGTAATAAGAATATTCCCAAATCCCATCTTAGAGCCTGGAATATACTCGCTGGTATCCCTACCATATAACTTGCTACGTCTGTTTGATTGTGGAAAATTTTCCACAAAGAGCATCTTGGAGAGGTCAAGGTTGGGATGAGAACGGCATTCGAAAAGATATGAAGTGCACATGTGGGCGGGCATGCTTCAAAAGTTAGCGGTGCCGCGGACAAATTCAATTCGGTTCCGGAGCCGCTCAGAGATGGGGCAAGGTAGACTGAGGTTAGCAACCGCTCGACAGGCTCACTGGGGGAGACACACCCGAAATGGGCGGGCACAGTTGAAAGGCGGTGCTCCCCACGAAATTCAGTAACTACAGTCGTCATCCGGTGACTTGATTTGGGCGGCAAAGGACGCGACGCGGCTGCGGTGTGTTGCGAGCGCGGCGATCAGCTGTTTCCAGCCTATTGTAGCCATGTTCTCCCTAGGTTACGCTATTTTAGCTGCTTTTCTCACGATTATTTTCTATTTTTTGAAGTCAGTTGTTCTATCGTCTACATTATGTATATTAGGACGGGGGTGCTTTCTTTTGTTTTGCAATAATGTTTTTACGATTTTTTTTCCAGCTATTTGTTCAATTTGTCTGCTTAACTGTTTAATTTTACGCAAAAACCAGAAGAATCTCAATCATAATTTAACTTGTGAAGACAAGAAACAACTAATCGTGAGAAAAGCAGCCAAAACAGCGTAAACTAGGGAGAAAATGACTAAAATAGGCTGGAAACAGGTGATCGCCGCGCTCGCAACACTCCGCAGCCGCGCCGCGTCCCTTCTCGCAGTAATCAAGTCACCGGGTGACGACTAGGATCTCGAGAAAGTTTAGAGATCGTTGAAAGTAGATGCAGAATAGGAGCAGTATTCGCAGCTCTAGTTGGTACGACTGAAACTTCTGAAAGAACTGGTAAGGCTGAAAGTATCTCTACATGTCCACCGATGTCGCCTTTGGATAATCGTGGAAAAACTCCTGGCGGGAGCATGGATCGCGTGCTTACTGCCCCGCAGCGATAACGCGCCAAAAAGGATACCAAATATGGCGCCGCACTGTGGCAGTTCCAAGGCTCTAGGACTTGCTAGCAGTTTGCTGATGAAGGATAAGCAACCGCAGGAAAGAGGAAGGCATGAACTGACGAGTGGTGATTGATCAACAGCCCCACGACGTGAGTGCATCTGAAAAAGATATCCCAAGACCATGTGGGCATTTTCCGGAGTTATGCTGATTCCACTGCGATTACCGATTTACCACTGCACGCTCGGGCGATACGACTAGAGGCGAACTTCTTCATCCCTAGCGTTAGTCCCATGCTGTCGCAGGATCCAGCGTTCTCGTTAGACGGTCACCAGCTTCACTCACACCACCTTTGACCATGGCATCCCTTCAATGAGGCCCTTTCAGCATCCTCACTTCAGCTGAGTGGGACTGCCTTTCTTGTTCCTTGCATAAGGGCCAGCACTCACTGCGGCAGACCTCACTTTTCCCTGGTATCCTGAGCGTTCTTGAGGCCCAAACAATTAGTTTCCGGCGTCGCAGAAGATGCCTGCGGACTTTCTCTTGATGTCTCACTCCTTTGTCAAACCGTTCTGGGAGCTCAGTCTCCAGCATTCTTCGACGGAGGCTATCGTTTCCCTCTTTGTGCATCTTCCACCACAGATTCCACCAGTAAGGACAGCTCGGTTCTTACCCTCCCCTGCTCAGAGGTCCATGCAATGACTGCAGAGCCGGTGCTGAGCACCTATTCTCTGCAGCGCAGCTTCTGACGAGTGCAGGGTCGATTTCCATTTGTCTCGCTTTGCCGAAAAAAAGTTGCGATTGCTAGATTGTGGGCTATTGTCGGACCGATAGCCCTTTCTCCCACGGTGCTCCTCGCTCCTATTCTCCTGCGCCATGCACCCTTTATATGCCTTTCTATCACTACCGACGTGGCCGTCAATTTCCTTGCCATAGTCATATAGTCACCCTATAGAACCGATCTGAAGGTCCCGTCCAGGGTCTTGTAGAAGCCATCCTTCTCTAGCTTGCCAAGGGTGCGTACACGTATCCCATTTTCGTGTCTATTCTCCAACCATAAATTCGATCACTGATCACAAAGAAGACGCAAGTTTAAAGGAACTGGATCGCGGTGCGTACACGACCAGCACTGTCCAGTAAACCTCATTCATGTCTACTACTAAACCTGTTCAGAGGAGAGGCAGTTCTACAGTGTACGTCATCCCTAGTTACCCCCGGTGGCCCTCGTGAGACTGAGACTTACAACTCGGGCGAGGGTTCAGCGCGCCATTTATGTCCTATTATTAATAGTGATTCTATGCGACTTTCCGGTATGACTGGGTCAATAAGGAGCTGATCTATCACATCGCACTGGTGAGAGCGCTTGCCAATGCCCACCACACCACTGCAGGGATATCGCTCGGCACGCGCTATGTGCGCGCCATCGGTGTGGTCTTTCATCCCCAAGGTATCGCACGCCGCCACTCAAACTCCAAGACTTCCATGTAAACAATGTAAGAACGAAGATAAAAAGATGTTCCATACTTCACCTATACGTCGTACGTACTAAGGTTGTGGTTGTCATTTCACAAGCAAATCATATACAATGGGAAAGTTGTCCAGATCTCCTAGAAATTCAACGTACCCATACACGGTACAAGACTGTAACACCCCGACTGTTCAGCAGGGCACATTACTAGTTGGGGATTTTGGTCGCGTCCGTACGACTCCCCCCCCCCCCTCCGCCCTCTGTCCTTCCTCATCGAATCGAGCCGTCGAGGGGGCATATAGTACGCATGAAACAGGAAAATCACCAAAAGTCAACCACCACTCCTACAACGCCAAAACGTAAATACGACCCCCCCCTCCCAACAATGACCAAGTACGACCCTTTACAACGTCCGTGAAGCGAGAAAAATCAACTATCAAAATAAATTTTTCCCAGCCCAAATACGACCCCCCCCCATTGGGGATTTCCCAGTAACGATGTGCCTTGCTGTTCATTAGATGAAGACTGTGCCCGCGACGAATTCAGCTGGCGGATATGATTGCCTTTCAATGGTCACTCTTCCCAAATTTTGCACAGCCTTAGTCCACTGCCAAGCAAACATCTCTGCTTGGCATTTCACGGGTATAGATACGAGCACTCATCACGAAGCCGTACCACTGTGGAAAAGGAAGTCAACAATTAAAAAATTTATACAACTCACTTCTCTGAAAACCGAAGAATAACAAGACAAAAAACGAACAAAAAAATGTAATGCAAACAAGTACAGCTTCGACGATAACAAGTAACAAACAAGGAATATCAGTGGTTAATGCTAAAAAAACAGAGGTAACAGAGGTAACTTCTGAGAAACGTTAGCAAATAGTAAGTAAGGAAACAAAAATGCAGTACATATAATAAGCTACAAATTACTGGTTGGCAAACAAAAAAAAACGCATTTTCTAGGCCCAGTAATGCGAATTGATTTTGCAATGAAGACGAGCGCTGAGATTTTTGAAGAAATCAGGTGTACCATCGTGCCTAAGTCTTCCACCCTCACCACTGGCACCAGACGCTACTGAACCGTCTTCCATATCACGGAAGCTGTAAATATGAAGCCATGATCATCGGTACACGGAAAACTCAGCGCCAAGTTTGTGAACCTTCCCTAAGTTAATGCTTGACTTTAACAGAGCGCATACAACAAGGGTCGCCGTGGCCCGACCTAGCAGGGCATAAACCGACGCGCTACCACGTCCTGCCCCAACTACTTTTGCGCTTTTTGCTTTTGCATCATCCAGTTATGTTAAAAGGTCCCATGAAGTCATGGCACAAAACAACCATCCCCAACTTGTCACAACCCCGATGTTCCGAAATCGGGCCAGTTTTCTAGGAACAAGCGCAGATTCGGTCAAAAATTGGTTTCCAGGTGTAATTCGGCCTCCTAAACATGAATATCACATCAGCTTAGCCCGAAACCACCTGCGTCAAAAAACTCAATCACCAAATTCTTGAACTTGTAAACGGCAGTTATTTGACGTTCTGATTTTAGAGCATGACATTCATTGCTGGCGCCGGCGCTACTGAAGAGCAGTGTGATCATCTGCGCTCTGTTGAAGGCAGTTGGCACGATAAATCCCTATGACGAGTAGGATTAATACGTCTGCCAGGATGGATAGGATTCCGCGCCCCTAAGCTAGTGCCTTTTCAGAGGAAGTACCCAAGAGGAAGGTACCTAAGCTCCTAAAAAGCTGCAACATACCAACCCGGACGCCCACCGTACCCGCCCGCCCACAAATGGACGACCGTACCTGATGCTCGTATTGCTTCATTTGCGAAGTAAAATATGAAGCGAAGGGATTGATATGAAGCGGCCGCGGTGCTACATACACTATAGTTCTCTGCGGACGGCTGGGCGTGTCAGTCAGTATGAGTGTGTCACCCTACCAAAGCCGTTTTCTGCCTTCTTGTTGAAGAGCGTCTGCGACAAAAAGTGGTAGAAGACTATAGTACGAAGGATGTGATGCAGTATTGGCACGCCCGCTTCAACAACTAGTGTAGAACGAGTTTGGCACCGCGCCAAGCGCAGCCGCACGGACACGCCCAATCGTCCGCAGCGAACCACTCTATAGATATATGAGCAAATACGTGCGAAAGCATCTACCGTAGCGGTTATTGGCACGACACGATATAGCACTCTGCTAGCATTTTAGACAGAGTACCGAATCATTGCGCCCTTGAAGCGAGCTTTTCTTACGGAATCACTCCTTCTCCCAAGGCTCGGCCTTAACGGAGCGCTGAATCGAAAATGAGTGCCATATTCCGACTAGGGCATCAAGCAATCCAATTATTCCAGTTTTCATCTATTTTGGTGGAAGGGTGTGGCTTCACTTTCACGCCACACCTCTTTCACCAAAATAGTTGAAAATTAAAATGTATGATATGTCATGTTTGGTCAGGGCACCGAATAACCCCATTGTGCAAGTTCACACCGGTTTGGTGAAAGAGTTGGCGCCAAATGGTGCCAGCGTCGAAAAAATGTCACACACGTGATCAGAGCACCGAATAACTCGTATAGGCAAAGTTCCAGCGAAACTTTTCAAAGAATAGTACCCAAGTTACAAAAGGACTAACTTCTCAGCTTTCCAATTATTCCGACCACGCTTTGACAAGTTAGTCGCAGAAAAGCAGACTGATGGCAGAGTTGTCGTCCCACAAACTACCTCAAAAGGCAAGCAGTAGATGGGAGTTCTAAGAACTTCAAACCTCTCAAAAGTCCTCACTTGATGCCCATAGCAGAGCATGTTCGTAATTTGTTTCAATTCTTCCATTGTAGGCAGACTTCCGGAGGTACCTTTATTGTAAGTTACCAAAGTGCAGCGAAGAGCTCGAGCTGTGCCCTGAAAAATGATAAGTCCGTATTTGAAAATATCTACATACATGGCTCAATTACTCAAGAAGCAAACAGTGTAACGCGCAGAATAACCTGAAGAGCTTTTTGAGGAATGATGAGGAATTCGTTGTATGCGGGATGCATGGCGTCGTCCACCACAGTGCCATTGGGGACGTTCTGATCCATTGGCCTCGCATGAGGATCAATTCTTCAAATGTAAATCTATTAAAAAAATAACGAAAGATCAACATGGTCCTCTGTATAGAGTGCTACAGTGTTATACTCTATAAAGAAGAAAGCTAGAACCCGATGGCTCGGTCAAACGACCAAGGGGTCAAGATGCAGCAAATAGCGTCAAGCTACTGTGGTTTTAGAAGAAGTGGTTTTTTGAAGCCTGATATTCATTAGCAGAGCTGAGAAGCAACCACTGCCTGGCTTCAGACACCAACCAAATACCCAAATTCATGAAAATTGAAAACTGTCCCCCCCTCCCCCTTCAAGGATACATTTTATGAACGTGTCAGAAAGGAAGCGAAGGCGAAGATAGTGTGGTGACAAGTGGGACGCTTACCACACGCGTCCCGAAGAACGGATCCCGCCCAGGACAACAAAGCCTTGTTTCCCTCGGAAATCGTTACTAGACCGCTACTGTAAATTGGTACTAGATTCGTCTGGGAGGATAAGAGCACTGACTTGTATACCGGCTGGCCTAGGCAAGCCGTTGTGTAGGTCACATACTAAACTTACTAGTATTCTGAATGGAAGTAGAATGCGTGCCGCATCCCAAAAAGGGATTGATCAACGGCGGAGACTTCAGAATTTCAGTTTAACCAAGGAAGCATCTAGTAAAAACTCACCTGGTAGGAACAACGCGATAGTTGGAGTTCGTTTGCACCACCACGCATGTGAGTGAGGGAGAGTACATGCCATGGCGATACATGTGGTTAACTTCAACAAACGCTTTCTGTAGTTCAACCATCTCTGCAGCAGCCTGTAAGTAGATAGAACAGCTACGATTTGTCACTTCATATTGCCACACACGCTACGTGTACGCCTCATTCTTTCTAGGGTTTTTTAACACTGAGTGCGCGTGTCGCTGCGGCGTCTTGGTGTCGACGCAAGCGATGCACAGCGAGGATAGTATGAGCGGAGTGTGGGAACGGCATCCGGTCACCACTACCCTCCAGCCCCGCTCACGCGTACCACTGAGTGTATAAAGTGGTATGGTACTGCTGCTACACCTCCGTTCACCTCGCAATGGAAACGAACGACCTTGAAAGTGGAAGTGCACAGTTTGTCTCAAGATGTGCTAATCTCGCTTCCTATGGTACGGCCATGTTCGCGCGATACTGTTACACTGTCCCGAGTATACATAAGTACCTGTGTCTACAGGTGCCAAAACAGCGGACCTTGCTTTAGAGTGGCTAACGCTAAAGACCAAGAAGACGAATCCAAACCTTTTTGAACTCTCCCTCAGAGACTCCACCACGGTAGACAACAATATCGAGAGGCAAACTGTTAGTCTCCTTGAGGAATGCTTGAAGTGCCACAGTGAAATTACTAAAAACAAATTAACCAACTCGGCAATTTAGAAATAACAATGAAAAGCCTCCCTTACGTTGCGATGTCCGAAATCAAAGTAAGACGAGGTTCCTGCATCCAATAGGTGCCTCGCATCTTCGTCGGCTCGCCTACAGTGTAAGCCATCTGAATAAACGATTCACTTATCTGCGAAGTGGCGACAGTGCTCACAAAATGTTTCTAGAAACAGCAGCAACTTTTCTCGACATTTCTTTTCCTGTTACAAATTCTTAGTTGCCTTTGAAGTTAGAGGCAGTTGGCACGATGATTTGGTGCTCGGCCTAAAATGCTAGTAGGGCGCTATATAGTGGGGAAATGGCGAAAGAACGGAGTGAAACGGTCAAAATCCTGCGAAGAAAGAGCCTCCGTTCTCATGTTAGAAATCAATTTTGGACGAGTTTCCTGTAGGCATCTTGCCAATAACCGCTACCGAAGGTACGGCTGCATATGTGTACTCATATATCCATGCAGCATCACGGCCGCTTCATACCAATCCCTTCGCTTCATAATTTGCTTAGCAAATGAATCGATTAGAGCGTCAGGAACGGTCGTCCATTTGTGGGCGGGCGGGCGTGGCGGGCGTTTGGGTCGGAATGTTGTGGCTTGATAGGGCCCTTATAAGGGCACCTTCCTCGAGGCGCTATGCAGCGCCTGCTCAGGGTCGCGGAATTCCGTCCTGCCAGGCGTATTAATCCTACTCGTCTTGGGGGATTTATCGTGCCAACTTCTTAAATAGGGCATTTCAAAAAAGCTTTGTGCGAAAAGTTCGGAATAATGATAAATCAATTTCTGAACAGCACGTCCTGTAACATTCGGAGCCTCCAGGAAAGCCAGATTAGAGAAAAACACAAGTTCAAGGGGAGACTACAGGACAACACCACCTACTTGCACTTGATAAGACATGGAATGTTCTATTGCAAAACTAGTTTCCCGAAGTGAGCTGTAATCTGGCGCCTGTACTCGTTGAACAAGTATTAGCTTTCCTTAGCATTTCCATACCGTGACATTATAATAAAGAAAGCAGGGGTACAATAGCCCGTCACCAGACGGTTTCCTCACTAGACCAGCGACCAGCAATCACAAGACTAGAAAACGACCCTTCTTAATGAAAAATAATTGATTGCTATGTTTTAATAGTTATCGTCTGCAAAAGACCACAGTGATAAAGAAATAATAGAGGCAAAAATTGAAGTCGAATCTTTTATAGCTTACCCCAACAACGGTTGGCTCACTTTGAATTCTTTTCATCTGCCGGTCAGCAAATGACTGCGGGCCAGCATGACTGATATCGAAACCAACGAACATACGCGTCTTAGGAAATAGAGCTGCATCGCTAAAAGCGAACGATGATGAAATGTCCGACTAGTCACTTTTCAGAATGCGCCACGCACTGAATATCCATTCAGGGTTACAGAGCATTCTCATCGAGGCGTATCTCTTTATCAACTCTTTCTATACCTCTTTATCAACTGCATACAGTAGTGACACGTAAGAAAGGAACGTACAGGGGATTCGGTGGGATGGGATGCGATCTTCTATTTGATTCCAGTGAGTGTAACAATAACTCGTTATTGTTCCTTATGCTACCTTTACGCTAAAGATCTGACTCAAATCTGATCTGCACTACTGGTGAAGT